TCCCTGCTACCTTCAACTTTTCCTAGCATTATTGTGTTTTGATATTTTGGCTGGTCCTAACAAAAGGTATTACACGGCCCTTTTTGTGGGGGGAGATTTTTCTGCAGTTCCATGCAGCTGTCTCTGATGTCAGAGAACATCGTTAGTCATTGATCGTAAAGAGCCTCAGAAATTTATGAAAGGCAAATAACTAAAGCGTATTTTTAAACAAAGAGAAAGCAAAGACATCCCACGCCATGATAGTCACTTTCAGAACCTTTTAAAAAAAAGCAACAGCACAACACAAAGCCTAGCCTGCTCCCATTTAGTTTTGTTTGCGAGAAAGCAAAGCAATCTGCAGCCTGTTGAAGTCGCTCATGAAAAGCTCCATTAAATTTAATGGGGTTAGATCCAAGCCACTGGGCTGGATCCAAAGACCCCCCTCCTCAGCACAGTCAGAGTCCTAGGACCTAATAAAGGTATTCTTCTGTTCATGGAAGGATACCTTTGGATCCAACATTGTTGGGGAAAATCATATATGTTTGACAAGACTGCTACAAATAACTGAAAGCCAACCAATTATAACTTAAAAGAAGCAAAATGAAGATTCCTTTCATTGTGACAAGTACATATTAATTAATCGTATCACCAAACACAAATGAATTTTAAATTACGTGTTACTCTGAATTTAACCTCCTCATTACCTAGGGCGGGACAGCCAGTAATTTCTAAGTAAATAACCCAAAAGCAAGTTCCACTGAAATAACAGGGAGCTACTCACCTCCAGAAGAAGTGAGGTGCTGAATGTTATTTAGAAGAAGTCACAGTCATGTTTTTTAAGCCTCTGTATGCAAATTACAGGGATGTGTGATAAAGGGTCAATTTCATACCTGAGGCTTAGAGATGCAAAATTTCCAGATTTCCCCCCCAGTACTCCCCCAGATTTCCACTTTTCCCACTGGAAAAATGGGGGGAAAGGTCTTGGGGGGGAAATGGAAAAAAATCAGGGGGGGGGTGTTCCTGAATGTTATTCTCTACTGATGTTGCCTGCACCCTTTGGTATACAGAGAAGGATGCCTGCAAGGAATATAATTTCTCCTCCTTGAACATTTCCCCTGTGAATCTGACCAAGGAAGATGCCAACAAGATATAGAGTACACGTCCCCAACCTTTTTGAAGCCTGTGAGCACTTGTGGAACATAATGTGGTGGGCGCAGCCACAAAATGGCTGCTGCGCAATGGCCACTGCAGGGGGCGGAGCCAGCCACAAGATGGCTGCTACGCTTACCTTCAATCACACAGTGAAGATCCGTGTGCAGTGGTGGCAGCCAATCCCATCTTCAGTGATCAGTCAGAAGCCTTGCTGGGCAAAAGCCCCACCTGCCCCTACCCAATTTCCAGGGGTAGTTTCGTAGAAAAAGAGCTAGGGGAACTCATTAGCATAACTCATTAGCATATGCCACACCCCCTGACATCACTGGAAGTGTGTCATAAGGCCACACACCCCGCGCCCAACGGTCCTGGCCGCTACCGCTGGCCTTACAGCTCCACCGCCGAGCCCCATGAGGGGCCCGGCGGTGGACCTGCAAGGCCGACGGGAGTGCAAGGAAGCCCCGCGAAGGCCCTCCCTGGCCCCAGGCAGGCAGGGGTGGGGAGAGGCAGGGAGGAAGCAACTTACCCTCCCTCTTCTCCTGCCTCCTCCTGGCTGAATGAGGGCCGGAAGCGGGGTGGCTGGAAGCAGGGGGCGGGGCTTCGTCATGTGCCCCGCCCCCCGTACCTCACCCGGGGGAACTGTGATCCCCCCCGAAATGACCTCTGACAATTTCTAAAAACACTTGACGGGCACCAGGAAAGGTGTTGGCGAGCACCATGGCACCCATGGGCACCATGTTGGTGACTCCTGATCTACCGTAAAATATAAGGAATCACACTGATACGTATCATTTCTTACTCGTTCTAATTTTTTTTTTAAACTACAGAGTATATGAAGAAGTCCCTGTACCTCGTAAGTTTCTGAAAAGGATGATGGTATCTTTTTGGAAAGGTGTTCCTGTTCCCCTTCCTCCTCTTCCTCCAAAATCCCGTCACCGTTATCACTGAAGGTAGCTTCGTCATAGCTGACACTCCTCAGAAATCCCCGTCTGTCGTCAAACTCCACGGTGCTGCTTTCACTGGTGTCGCTACAGACACTATTCTCCCGGCTTCGAGACTTCAAGATTGATTTACGAGGGACATATTCCCCATTCACAACATCAACAAAGACTCTGTAAAAGAAAAAAAAAATGTTGGTTTTAATAAACTATCGGATCAGGGGCAGAGAATCACATGACACATTTACAATAATTCCACTCTGTCTTCAGTACAAATTAATTATGATGACTTTTGCTTGCCCAGCTGAAGCTTTTAAAGAGACATTGCAAGAAGCACAGATTTAGCAAGACAGGTGAGGGGTATGTTTTGTAACTCAAGTGTTACCCTGCCTCTTCTGAGTGGCTACTCATCACTTTTCTTCAAAATTAAATTATAGATGGTCAAGGGGTACATGCAATTATTGGCTATTCTACAAGCAAAAATTGTAAATCAGTAGTGGAATGAATTTATGAAGAAAGGCTTCGACCCTCCCCCTTAGGCTTTTGGTGACTAAATTTGCCTTCAAAGAGGGGAACGTAAGAAATTTCAGTTTGGGGTTATTTTCCCAGGTAGCTTTACAGGAGAAATGGCTTTAGAATAGCGTTGATATGGTATGGGGGGATTTCTTTTTCCAAAAGGCACTTTTTTCGATATAGCCACTGATTCCTCTTATTTCTCTCTCATTTTTTCTTGAGTTCTTTGAATATAAGTCAAAGCACCCTTTTGTAACTTCAGCCCTTACAGTTGTTTTCTGATCCACACTGCAGGGTGGTGCCCTAGAAGGGGGCTAGGAAGGTTTGGGAAGACATTGCTTGCCTCTCAGCAGCTACAGAGTGAAATTCAGAAATTATGCAAAAAGTCCCTTCCTGCCCCTCCTCTCGTCAAATTTCTCCATTGATAAATTGATCAGAAACAGGCTCAAGATTCCCGGAGAGAGAGAAAAGCAACGGATTGCTGGATTTCATGGAGAAATTGAGTAGAGGAATTAAGAGAATTTCTCCTAGTAACACAACTTTAGAAGCTGGTGCAGAAGCAGTGGGTAGGGTGGGGGACAGAGAATTACAGAACTGTCATACTGAGACAGATCACAGATCCATCTAGCCCAATATAGTCTAGTCTAACTGTCAGCAAATAGTGAAAGGTCTTTCTCAACACTTTGAACTGGATATATTTCAACTGAGATGTTGGGACACTTGTGAAAACACAAAACATGGGTTATCGTTCTCGCGTGCTTACTCCAGACTTATGAGGCAGTGCAAAAAAATAAATGAACAAAAGAGAGAAAAAATATGTGAGAACTGTCACTATAAAGCATTATGGGCTTCTTTTAGGTTTCACTTAGAACAAGCTTCATACTTATATTTTAAGAAATCCCAAACAACTTCAAGACAGTCATCTAGCTGCTATAACTGACATTCCCCAGTTATTATGGACAACCAATCCAACCTAGGTAAAAGTTTCCACAATTACTACTCAAAATGTTACAACTTCACTGAACATGGAGGAGAAGGAGAAGGAGGAGAAGGAGAAGGAGACGAAGAAGAAGAGGAGGAGGAGGAGGAGGAGGAGGAGGAGAAGGTTGGGTTAATACCCGCACCCTTCACTCGGAGTCTCAGAGCGGCTTACAAACTCCTTTCCCCTCCCCACAACAGACAGCCTGTAAGGTAGGTGAGGCTGAGAGAGCTCTTTGAGAACTGCTCTTTCAAGGACAGCTCTGACACAACTATGGCTTGCCCAAGGTCATCCAGCAGATGCAAGTGGAGGACTGGGGAATCAAACCCAGTTCTCCCAGATTAGAGTCCGCACACTTAACCACTACACCAAACTGGCTCTTTGGAAAGTGGGTCCCATTTGTAGACAGGCTGTATAGCTACCATCCATGACTTCTGAAACCCCTATCACAAGAGAGACCAAGGAATACTTGGTGGATCTCAACAGGGAGACAAAGCTCCCTGTAGAAAATGAAATATAGGAGCCATGCACATGAAGTACAGAAGCTGGTGCTATCTCACAATGTGGCAGTCTGGCAAAATTAAAGGCAGATAACTGGGAATGATCCAATGGAGAACCCTGAACCTATGAGTAAGGAGGTGCAAATAAAGTTCACAGACTCAACTAACCAACTTTTTAAAACAGAACTGGATTTAATCATTTAAGATACTATCATCCTGTAAACTGTTAGAAAAACTTGTCTATTGAGGTGGTTGCATAGCTGTTCCAGTCATACGATGTTTTGCCGGTGGTTCCCTTGTGGACTTAAACTGGATCCAAAGAAGGACAGTCCAATATGGCTTGTCGAACAGCCTTGAGAAGTCCTATTTTAACCCTCAGGACGGAGGACTCATTACACACATACGAAAACATAAAAGCACTAACTGCTCAACGCCCCCCAAACCTATACATCAGTGAAACGAAACACAAGTTCATTGTTTTTCTAATTCTCATCTTGTTTTCAAGAGCTGTTTCACACTGAGCTAATAATTGCATAATATGAGCAATACCGAATAAGTGCGAAATTCCCACCAGCTGCAACTTGATGTACAAAAGGTCCTCGAATATGCTATATAAATTATGTTAATTACACGTAGCTCGGGAGGAGTATTAACTGTGGCCCTCTAGCTTGTGCCGCATTTCCAACAGTAATGTACTACAGAGTGAGAATTATGAACCAGCCAGTAGACAGATGCCATACCGATAAATGTCTGCTGGTGTTTTGATGTTGGGCAATTCGGTAGTTGAGTGTCCATTGCCATTGCTATTCTTCCGCTTGCGCTTGGCCTCTTCTTTCTTTTCACTGAATTTCAAGGTGGTGTTTTTTCCTGTGTTTATTCGTACCTGAAGTGAAAATGCACATTAGTCATGAATAATCAGGTTTTTAATCGAGCGAGTAAAAGGCAAAATCTTGGTCTCTAATCAGCCGGATATGTCAATTAAATCAAACATTAAGTTGCTTGGTACCTCTGCACATACTGTGTGCAACTGCTGGTCACCACAGACAACTTTAACATAGATCATACTAAGTTTATGCACTATTGATTTCATATTTCTTGCCATGTATATTGAACTAGGGCTGTACTGAGAATTGCAGAATCAGTCATGTTTGGTTATGTACTTATGTACTTTCTGCAACCTTCCTGAATTCCCTAAGCCTCTGTTCACCTTTGTACAAGTCCCCTATTTCATTGCTCCTCTTCACGTAAATATTTTCAGTTCTGCAAAAACTGAACATATTGCAAACAATCTGTGTACACTTGTACAACTGGTAAAGGTAGAGGTTTCCCTTGCTCGAAAGCCAGTCAACTCCGACTCTAGGGTTGCGGTGCTCATCTCCATTTCCAAGCCGAAGAGCCAGCGCTGTCTGAAGACGTTTCCGTGGTCATGTGGCCGGCATAGGGCTGCCAAGTCCCCCCGGGGGGCGGAAATCCCCCCACCCTAGAGGCCCGTTCCCCGACGCCGGGGAATCGGGCCCCGGGGGGAACCCCGCCCCAGCGTGCACGTCACAGGGAAGTGACGTTATGACGCCGGGCACGCTGGGGGCGGGGCCACGGCCATACAAGGGAAAACTCTATGGTTTTCCCTTGTATGGTCGTAGCCCCGCCCGGGCACACTGGGGGTGGGGCCACGGCCATACAAGGGAAAACTCTATGGTTTTCCCTTGAATGGTCGTGGCCCCGCCCCCAGTGTGCCCAGCGTCATGACGTCACTTCCCTGTGACACGCATGCGGGACGCGCGCCAGGATACAATCGGGAGTCCCCCGCCGGCAGGGTAAGTGCCACTTGGCAACCATAGGCCGGGAGAACTAAATGCCGAGGCGCACGGAATGCTGTTATCTTCCCACCAAAGCGGTACCTATTTATCTACTTGCAATTTCTTGCTTTTGAACTGCTAGGTTGGCAGGAGCTGGGGCCAGAGACAGGCGCTCACTCCGTCATGCGGCACTCGGGTGTCGAACTGCTGTACAACTGGTACTACTTGATAAAACTCTGAGCTCTGTTCGGCAAGCAGAAGAGTAGGCAGGTCCTCTCTGGACTAGCTAGGGATCCTATGTGACAGAGGCAAAGCTGCATGTGTATAGGTGACCCAGTTAGCGACAGGTCAAGGGCCATTGCTCAGTGGCACAACATCTGCTTGGCATGCAGGAAGTCCCAAGGTTCAATTCCTGTTTGAGCTGTTTAGGTTTTATAATAGTTCCAGCTTATCAAGGAGCTATGTCCTGAAACCGGGGTGTGTGTGTGTGTGTGTCTTCTCTAGGGAGAAAGTAAAGTTTATTGGCACCACCTTATAACTCTTTGCTCTGCAGCCTGCCAAGTATAAGCGACTTCACTTCTGATTTGCAGGATTCCTGATAAAATGGAGGGGAGATGATCCATCTAAGTCAATTTGGGTCCCCACTGTCGAGAAAGGCAGGGTGTACATTAAGTAAACAAAACAAAATACCTGCACCAAACAACCGCGTTGGGATTGCAAGTGGATCTCAATGTGATTTCCTTCCTACACCTTTATTTTATTTTAATTTGATGGATGAGGCTGTAGATTAGAAAAGCAAGTTTGTCCTGTTGCTTGAGTATTCCAAGGGGGGGGGGAGACCTATAATCCTTGATGACAATCTGCAATTTCTACTTAAAAAAGATTACTAGACCTCATGACTATGGGGGAGGGGGGGGGAGAATTAATAACACTCCTAATTCAACAGACATTGTAATACAAACCCTTTTCGGTTCCACGGTATGGGAGAAATATATTGTCGGCACAGCATCCTCGGCAATGGCAAATCCATCCTCATCGTCACTGTGGTAATAATGACCTGTGCCATTAGTCTGACCTCCAAACAATTCAGAGTTGGTTACTTCTTTTTGAAAGTTGTCCTGAGTATTCGTTTTCTCTTCACCCTCAACCACATTCACAGCTGTCTTCTCTTCTCTCTCTTCTTCAGAGGAGGAAGCATCTTCTCCGTTCGCCTCAACAGTATTGGAGGTCCTAGGAAAGTCATGGAGAAGGGAAAAAAATCAGGGGGGGGGGGGTTGGTGCGCCAGTTAAATCCCCCAAGACTAGGGTCCTTTCTGCATTCTCCTTTTAATCCATGTTCACTGCAGTGTCCTCTAAGCCATTCTGCACTAAAATCGAATTCAACCTTCTTTTTAATCCCGGTTTCCCCCCATTCTGCACTAAAATCGAGTCCAGCCTTTTTATTCCAGGTTTTCCCCCCATTCTGCATGACAGTTACCTCCCTTCGGTAGTCAGCCCGGTTTCAGCCTGCTGTTGCCCCGGGTTATTGAGATGTTGTTTTGCCGTGGACTTAAATTGCCTCGACTTGAACACTGAGAAAATACGGAGTGTGGTAGGCAAATGCAAAAACGACCTGGCATAAATCCAATAGACAAATTTTGCTCCAGATTATTCTGGCAGCTTTTTTGGGGAGCAAGAAGGAGAGAAACTCAAGTGAGCCTTCCACATTATGATCTTTAATGGTGTGTCCTACTGCTGATTTTCCCATGATCCTCTGCGGGTAACTACATGACTGAAGACATAATAAGTACCATATCTTGTACTTGTTGTTCTTTGTTAGCATTTTCCTTCCAAGAAATTCTACCTTGGCCAGTCCGTGCAAAATTCACAATAAGCTTAGACAGACTGCTTATGCTGTCTGTCATTCCTCCTCTTTACGAAGTTTTTGTTAAAAAAAAAAATACCATGTCAATGGTCCTCTTTTGCCACTGTATCCATCCATCCCGTATTGCTATTTTTGTCCACAAGCTACTTTTAAATTTTTTCCAACAGAAATTAAATCTAGTCATCTCGGGTCTCTGAAGTCTGGCTCACGATCCCATTGTCAAGGCTGCCACTAAGCTCTTTTTGGCATACTGCATCAAATTTACTCAATAATGTATTCAATAATATAAATGCAGTATTATTTTTGGTAAGAAAGTGCTAAGACAAAGCCAAACCTGTACTCTTGTGTGGAAGAGACCCTATCTGGACTGCAACCTGAAAAGTGTAAAGAAACTAATACAACCATTGATAGCTGATGTTCCGTGAGATGCTACCAACTCTCTGTCAGAGATCTTTAACACCTTCACAGCCCCACGGAACTCAGCTTTCCCTGGGAAGAAGCAAAACACTGCTGAAGCACTGTATGTCAGCAGTGCAGATATCTCCTACGATTAAAATAAAATCTCTAAATGCTTAGATGTGTCCCTATGTGTCAATACCAGAGCAGATCTGTATTTTAACTCCTTAGTTGCTTCGTTAAAAGATGAAGAGACGCTGCCTAAATAAAAACAATTACACAAGTTTTAATTTTGTTCCCCAGACCAAAAAAACCCCCAAAACCTTTGAATTTTCTATTTTCTAATTAACAACCACAGAGGATCAGGCAGACAAAATGTTAATACTACATATGAGACTGCAATGCTCTGTATCGTCAGCATTTTCAAGGCAAGAACCATTCAAAGTACCTCCCCCCAATAGCAACTCCGGACCTCCTTGGTGGTCTCCCATCCAAATACTAACCAGAGCTGACCCTGCTTAGCTTCTGACATCTGATGAGAATAGGCTAGTCTATGCTATCCAGGATAGGGCACTCACAGGAGTAATCACTAGTATATGTCCCCCATCCTTATTAAGGACCCAGTTCTAATTTAGGAGACAAGTCTGGTCAAATTGAGGGCCCAGCTTCAATCTAGATAAGTTCTAAAATATTCTTGTTTCCTTGGAAGAGAGAATTTCAGCACGGGACTCTTTTAAGGATACCTGTGAAGTTCACCACAGATCTCTTCTTGTCTCTCAAGTTCATCGAGTCTGGCCCAAAGTTCCAAATCGGATTTCAAGTCCCCACTGAACTTTTCACCAGTTCTGTTTTCTTGAAGATCTGCCTGAAAAGCATCTGTTTTTGGCTTTGAATGAGGTTTGAGAGCAGTTCTTTGCTTTCCTGGGTAATTAAGCAAACAAAAAACAGAATTAAAAAAAAATGCTATTACCAAGACAAAACAAGGGAAAGGGAGGGGAAAGGCAATTGTTAAGGAATCTAGGCTTAAAACTTTTCTGCCGCAAATTACCACTAAAGTGCTTAAGTAGTTCTGCCAATGAACCAGAACACTGTGCCAGAGTAATAGCGTTTAGTACTACCCAAATGCCAAGACAAAAGAACGAAAAACTCCATCCCCCTCAAACCAGAAGACAATAATCCTGGGATGTTCTCAGTGTAATCATCTTTACACCTACCAAAAATGTAATCTAATACGTACGGGTATAGTCAGACCCCACTCAGCAGCAGGGCAGATGAGATGGCGGGGTGGGAGAAGGAAACTGGGGTGGGGGCACCTAAAACTCTGTAGCACTCCTAATAACATCGTTGGTTGAGCCAATCAAGCTAGGATTCCAGCTCAGTTTTTAAGAACAAACAAACAATTTATTGTCAAATACCTTTGTTTGCACAGGCTGGAATCTCTTATGGCACCTTTCAATATACTTCAGGCATGAAGCAGGAGAATTCATTAATGTTCATTAATGATTTGGAGTTGGGAGTAAGCAGTGAAGTGGCTAAATTTGTGGATGACACGAAATTGTTCAGGGTGGTGAGAACCAGGGAGGATTGTGAGGCACTCCAAAGGGATCTGTCAAGGATGGGCGAGTGGGCATCGACGTGGTAAATGGGGTTCAGTGTGGCCAAGTGTAAAGTTAAGCACATTGGGGCCAAAAATTCTAACCATGAATACCCGTTGATGGGATCCAAACTGGCGGAGACTGACCAAGAAAGAGATCTTGGAGTCATAGTAGATAACTCACTGAAAATGTTGAGACAGTGTGCAACTACAAAAAAAAAGGCCAATGCTATGCTGGGGATTATAAGGAAGGGAATTGAAAACAAATCAGCTAGTATCATAATGCCCCTGTATAAATCGATGGTGTGACCTCATTTGGAATACTGTGTACAATTCTGGTCACCACACCTCAGAAAGGATATTATAGCATTGGAAAAAGTTCAGAAAAGGGTAACTAGAATGATAAAAGGGTTGGAACACTTTCCCTGTGATCAAGGTTAACAAGATTATGCATGGGATAGAGCATGTAGAGAATGAAGTACTTTTCTCCCTTTCTCACAATACGAAAACTCGTGGGCACTCAATGAAATTGCTGAGCAGTCGGGTTAGAACAGATAAAAGGAAGTAGCACCCAAAGAGTGATTAAGACATGGAATTCACTGCCACAGGAGGTGGTGGCAGCTACAAGCATGGACGGCTTCAAGAGGGATAAACATATGGAGCAGAGGTCCATCAGTGGCTATCAGCCAAAAGGTATAGATAAGAACTCTCGGTCTGGGGCAAGCAATGCTCTGTATTCTTGGCGCTGGGGAGGGGGGGCAACAGTGGGAAGGCTTCTAGTGCCCTGGCCCCACTGCTGGGCCTCCTGATGGCACCTGGACTGGATGGGCCATTGGTCTGATCCAACATTGGTTTCTCTCATGTTCTTATGTTCTTAATTATGCAACAACCCCCATTTTTGGAACTCTTTCACATGTATGCATGAAGCAGCTCTATGCTGAGTTAGACCATTTGTCTATCACAGTCAACATTGTCTACCCAGACTAGAAGCAGCTCTTCAGTCCCTCAGGAGAAGGTCTTACACATTACTTACTAATTGATCCTTTGAACTGGAGATGCCTGGGATTGAACCTGGGACCTTCTGCATTCTAAGCAGATGCTCTACCTTTGAGACACAGTCTCTTTCTAAGATACAGTTGACTGTAACAATCTTTGTCATATTTTACTAATGTCCATCCAGTTCATGTGCACTTTTGATGGCTGGGCTTTCACTGTTTTTGAATTTGATCGTTGCCTACTGGGTTATGTTATTATGTTGCACTGTTTTACATGAGTCCAACTCAGAGTTGTGAGGCCCCCTGGCCACTGGCGAGGAGGGAAGGATTGACCGAAAAAAGAAGAAACTGTGAGATAACTGCGCCCATCCAGTTCATGTGCACTTTTGATGGCTGGGCTTTCACTGTTTTTGAATTTGATCGTTGCCTACTGGGTTATGCTTTATGTTATTATGTTACACTCTTTTACATGAGTCCAATTCAGAGTTGTCAGGCCCCCTGGCCACTGACGAGGAGGGAAGGATTGACCGAAAAAAGACAAAACTGTGAGATAACTGCGCTATAGAATATTTAAATAATGATCACAAAATGTATACAAAAATGTGTACAAAAAAATCAACATATATAAATGCACAAAGGCAGATGAAAATGATGTAATTGACGATGATCTCCGGAACGTTCTATCATTTCGATACTATTCTTCTTCTGAATGTGGATGAAAGCAGCGACTCTTGGTCTGTTATTTCAACAGGTACGTATCAACAATTTCATTAATTTTCACCAATGTATCATAACATAGTTGCAAGAGATTCTCTGAAAGAATGTTCCTAGGGCAAAGTGCTTGTATAATGCCTTGAGGAGGGAAGGATTGCCAGCTCCAGGGTGGGAAATTCCTGGAGGGTGGAGCCTAGGGAGGACAGTGACCTCAGTGGGATACAGTGCCATAGAGCCCACCCTCCAAAACATCTATTTTCTCCAGGGGAACTGATCTTTGTAGTCAGGAGATGAGCTGGAATTCCAGGAGATCCCCAGGCCCCACTTGGAGGCTGGCATCCCTAGTCCAACTTGAATGAATGCATCCTTTTGCTCTTAAAATTCAAAATAACCACAGAAAATCCAACAACACAATTCTGGATTCTTCAGAGAAGTCACTCGCCAGAAGCTTTATGTCGTTGGGCTGCAATATTGTTAAACTGTGCATGTAAATACGTCTTCCAGTTTCCAAAAGCGCCAACAGAACCCTAACTTGACACATTTGCAAGTCACCCCATTAAACTGGAGACAACATGTTTTCTTCGTACTGCAAAAACTAATAAAAGGAACATAAGTGCAGTACATAAAACCCCAACTGCCTCGCGCATTAAAAAACTCACCTTTTGTTTCGGTGCTGCTGCTTTCACATACTTCTCTTATATCAACAAAATCGCCTGCTGCCTAGTTGGGGAAAAACATTGAAGCCAATGAGCATTTGTGTTATTTACTACTGCTTGCTAATGGTCGACATCGGTGGCCAGGATCCCAGGATCCCGCACGCTACTACTCTCACACATCAGAGGGGGATTTGGACTTCCATTCTTCAAAGTTACCTAGCACGTCTGGCAAGCAAATCAAGGGGAAGAGCATAATGGGTGCAGCTAATTGTTAAGGCAGTGGAACAGCATAAGGGCCAAGCTGTGACCTAAGAGGTCACTGGTTAAAATCTTATCTCAGTCACAAGTTCAACAGCTAGTCTTAGATGGGCCACTCTCTCTTGGCCTCAGTCCCTCGTTTGCAATACTGAAACAACACTAGTAT